AACCCTATCAACACTATTACCATTAGGGATGGATTTATCATTGATAACACCAGAATTACTACTACTACTACCATTGCTAATATTTTTCTTTCGATTTCTTATGAATTTATTCATAAATTTTGGTGGGTAGTTATTGAGACGTAGCGTATTTTGATGTGTCTGATTTCTTGTCGCAGATTTCCTGATCCATTAGTAAACTTTTTCGCTCTCACTTAAGCATTTAACTATGCCTACTTTAACTGAAATGGGGTGGGAGGATTCGAAGTGGGGTGAGATAAATAAACTAATTAACACAATACAAGATTTGTAAAATATGGGGATAATAAGAAGGAACAGTCACACATTTCTACACCTCCCTTAGCATTATAATGACATAAAAATTATCAAGGTTGAAGGTAAAAACAAAACGGTTTCGAATACACAAAGCAGAGTTGGAAATTTATTTCGCATTCATAAGGCTTCAATACACCTAAGTATAAGTAAACGACACTGTGGATGGACCACTCCTGTACAATGATCTGAAGACTGTTTTCGGGTCAATCCTGTCACATGTTTCTTTCCATAGTCTCTTTACCTATCAACGATTGAGTCTGTCTATCTATCTTTCTCTCCCCTATATTCATATTCATTTGAGGATATCCTCCACCACTCTCGATTTCATTGTTCAATTACTCCTCGTCCCAATGTGTGTGTCACGCCACACATATACACATGTAAATTGGTATACACACTGGGATGTGATGTAATCATTTATGAAGTGATGAGGTTTATATTTTCAAGCATAGGTTCCGTTTTCCCGATAATACTGAGTCAGGGTGGATAGTATATCTTTTTTTATTACCGAATTAAGTTTTCGTTTTGAGATAGTGGTGTTTGATTCGGCCTTATACTATAGTATGATGTAAACACCCTTCTTCGGTACGAAAGTTCAAACCCCCTTTGTGTATTCAAAAACTAGGCAGCCAGTGTGAGTACGATCAAGAGGCAGTAACGCGCTACAAATTCAGATGATATTTAGGCGACGCGCCTTGGTGATTCAAGTGAAATAAAAGTCTGGTGAGCAGTTGGACTCCGTAAGTGAGTTGGTAGAGCAACACGTCGAAAACCCGGTGATGGCTAGTTCGAATCTGTCCGCGGTCCAAATTTTCATTCCACCTCCAATCATCTCCTAGTGTATTCAAAAACAGTTTGTCCTCAGCCTTAGTAATCTTTATGTCATTTTAATCCCAAAGGAGGTGTGAAAATGTATTACTGTTCCTCCTTATTATCCCTATATTTTACAAATCTTGTATTACCTTAATTTATTTAATTACCCCACCCCATTTTCATCTTTCATATAAAACGCCATGACAACTAAATGTGTGTGTGTATGATCAGATTGTGCTAAATGTATTGCGCGAATACATCACATTTGTGAGATAACCCCCCCCCCTCCGCGTCTTCTGATTACACTATCCAAATTCATCATAGGGACTAATTGTTTCAAACCAACAATATCACATTGGATGTGAACAAGATACAAAAGAATAACTAGAATATGTTTTGAATAAATAGCTAACAACTTAAGCAAGTACAGAGTAAAATACACTTTAAACGTAGAGTATGTTGAAGTAGAATAACTGATGTTGACGAAGTGTCTGATTTTAACGCTTCTTGTGTACTACTGCAAGTGTGCAGGTGGTCGACAGTTCCCGACGGTCTACACCACAGAAGGCTGGTTGTTCTTGAGATAATTGAAAAACGAGGAGCAGCGTATGACCGTAGAGCCCATCGAACATATCTGTTTGAAGGCGGTCACCCACAGCCTTTTGGCAAGTTTGAAACTATGATTCCATGTTGCAAGTATCGGTATGCCATGAGGGGATGGGAGTGTGCTATTTTTGGGGTTGACCTCTTGTAACCCACCCCCCTCCTTTTCATAGGGAAGGCAACATCAGCGTAGCACTGCTGGTCCTCCCAGGGAAACAGCCTACTACTGTCACACTCGCGTCCAGTCAGCAGTACGACCTCGCCCTCAGACCCCATCAAAGTGTAGCAATTTACACTAGAATGATAACTACTGTTTGTCTCACCACTATTCAGCATACCTTTGTGGCATGGTAGGACGTCGAGGGAACATACGTTCCAGTGGCATAGCACGTTGGTTCATTTTGATATGAAAACCAGACCACCATGCCAAGGTAGCAGCTTAAATATTCGCAGTAACCTCTGTCTTCGAGTTGTTTATCCTCTCACAGAACTTTGTCTACTTTGATATCACTCTTATTCCATTCAACGATGCACTAAGGTGTGAGATTCGACGTTGATTGTCTGGTTGGCTGTCTATCCATCTATAACGCTTATAACAGTTCTACTGCTACATCTATACAATCAACTCCCTTGGACAAAACAGTCATCGAATAACAACCGACACATTCCAGATATTTCAAACGAACAGGTGAATCTTAAGATACAGGTAGAAGAAAGGAGACATAAATCAAGCCTTGGGATAGACAGATAGAGACAAAATCAACGCAGAACCTTGCACACAACTGCATTGCATTAAGTTGATACACTTCACAGCAGTATACAAAGAACAGATGAATAGAAAATGACGCTCATCGAAGTAGGCAAATGTTTCAATGAAAATGAAATTTAGAGATTACGGTGAATAGATCTGCACCATTGTAACCAATGTTCAGCCATTTTTCACCAAGAGTCCTCAACCACTGACTTTTATCGTATCGTGGAGCTCAGTTAGTTGGTCTACACCTTCCTACACGATTCAGATCAAAAACTTCATCTGGAACTGTGTTTAAAAAAAGGGGGAGAGTGACAAATCAGCTGATATTGATATCAAACTATATTGACTGAAGTGATTCAGATGAGTTTCATATATATCCTAATCAAGTGTATATATCATCGTGATACAATGGGGTGCCAAAAGAATTACGTTAAAAAAAACTAAGCGTGTTCAGTTTACAATATGGCACTGATCAATAGAGTTAACGACTGTCACTATGACCTATGAAAAGAAGTCTAAACTTTGTTATTAAAGTTCATGTGACACCTGAAATCAATGAATCAAGACTCTAAATGATATAACTCAAAACCAACGATAGAGGGGAGAGGGAAAGATGAAGTCATTCCCTATTAGAATCTAAAAATTAAGAGTATATTTTTTATTGAATTTTGAGGGAGTCGTGGGGATTTGGAAATATTTCAAGTTGTTATCGTAGACTGACATCAGTTGGAGGAACAAATGAAACCTGGGAGCACTGTACAGCTGTTTCGTCCTAGTGTAAGACTCCTCAGCAGTGTGCACCCACAACCCAGCACCAATAGGGATCGAACCCGTGACCTTCAGGTTCCAACTTCTTGGCGGTTGCGCTATACTGTGAGCTAACAGAAGTTGGAAATATGGACCATTGGATTCTGACCTAGTGGCTCAACGGTAACGTGCTGGTCACGGAACCTGAAGGTCGTGGGTTCGGTCCCTGGCGGGGTCATGAGTGCGCACTGCTGAGAAGTCCCATACTAGTGGGACAAAACAGCTATCCAGTGCTCCCAGGTTCCCTTTGTTCATCCAACTAATGTCAGTCTACGATGAATAACAACCTGAAATATATTTTATATCTTATTTTTTGTGTATCGTATATTCTTTTACAACCTATGATGTTACGATCACTGGTACTTCCTTATCTTTACCCATATAACCGTATATAACCTTTACTGTATATTGTTAGTTTTCATCTGTTTCATAATATTACTTAAGCCAAGAATTCACAACCTTTCTAATATAAGATTTATAAAAGTTGTTCATCAAATCTATTGATTATAAATTGTACATTGTAACCCATTAACCTTGAACATATTCAAGGTGATCAACAGATGGTCTTCAACTTAAGTTTCGTATCTTTTTAAATAATTAACTTATTGGGATAGTCAAAATAGAAGAGAGAGAATTCGTATATAATCTCTTCAGTATACGAATTCATGCTGTTTAGGTTTTTCAGTTAACGACAATACCTACTAAAATGAATACTTATTATTATTATTATTACTTTTCCCTTGGGTTCCTAGTGGAACATAGGGCTTCAGTAGCACGCCTCCACTTCACTCTCTTCTCTCCAGTCTTTTGGGCCTAGCAGTAAGACTACCCACAAGCTTTCATTCCTTCCTCATACGATCTCCTCCATTTTACCCTCACATTGGATGCCCAACTTGTTGTTTCCCTTTGGATTCTACTCGAAGGCCTGGCACATGATGTCCCCAATCGGCCTTCTCAGTGTATACCCAATCCATCTCTACTTTCTTCTGAATATTTGTTGGGTGATAGGTTTTTGGCTGGTTCGTTTCGAGTTTCTTGTTGCTTATTGTTTCTGGCCATTTGATCTTCAGCATCGAGCGTAGGCAGCTGGTGATGAATGTCTGTAGTTTGTAGGGAGTGCTTTTCATGACATGCCAAGTTTCTGAACCATATAGAAGCACTGACTGAAGCCTCAATACCTGAACACTTGAGCATTTGTGTTACAGTGGACGGTTAACTATCCTTTGACGTGTCGACATCAACTGCTATTTATTATCCAAGGGTGACTATTCTTTGCGATTTTAGCTTTGTATCAGAAGTACTTATAGAAATCAAAATCCTTTTTGATGTTCTCATAGGATTGATCTTCTTACCAGATATTCCTAAGTTATCTTCAAATATACAGATGACAATCCCCTCAACTAATCTACTTAATCGACGTGTTAAGATATTTTAGGAATTGTCCTGGTGCAAACTTGATAGACGCAGAGGCGAATCACTAATTATTCGAATTTTTATATACCCACGAATACAAAACCAAGAAAGAACACAATGGCGTAGACAGATGGAATAGTATATTTGCGAGGTCGTGCCAAGATACCGATGCGTTTCAACTAACTGGCTAGATGGTCGATTATGAGCAGTGCAACGTAACACGATAGCGTGCCAAATCTTGTTATATGCATATATAATTTTTAAAAAAGAAACTTACATCAAAATTTAAAATCTGATCAACTCCAGGTTTATTGATATGTTTGGGAAAATTATCAACTATCAGAAAAAATTAAAATATAAAAGGAAAAGAAAAAGATGTTTAGCTAGGTAATATACTGATCATTTTGACTAGCATCTAAGATAGCTGTGGTTTGACAGATCAGTATTGATACTGGGTGAGATGAAAATTTGGATCGCGGTCCCGGGATTCGAAACAGCGACTACCAGGGTTCCCTGCCTCATGCTCTACCAACTGAGCTACGAGAACTATGGAGGTGAGGTTTATTGGCTTAAACACTTCATGCATTTGTTCCAAGTTCAAACTAAGCCCTACCTTCAACGGTTCAGACAATCGGGGAGTACCATAAGCCTTCACATACAACAGCTGTGGCTCCTAGCCAAGTTTACATGAAGACCTATATACGATTGAGTTGTATTATACAGATCATAAGCCTTCAACACATTAGCTGTGGCTCATGTAGACGATAATCTTAGCCAAAGACTTGAATTCGTTATGAAAAAAAATCAATTCAACCTCCAACCATACCCTTATTTTATTCGATTAGTGGAAATAAGAAAATTAGTCTAGTTTTGATTGTTTAGTTGATGCTTACCTCTATAAAGTCCATTGAATAGGCAAAACAGGTACATGGGGTCCACCAAATCAAAATGGAAATGCACTCAAGAATTTTGTGCACGTTTGTGTAGCAGGTAATGAGCTATACCTATTATGTGAAGCCTGTTACAGCTTTGGTAGATGGAGCGAGGTTGGAACCCGTGACCCATACTGTTGAAAGTCAACCGCTTAAACCAATGAGCCATAGCTCCAAACCCCACCACGATTATGATCTATTTAGCTTCAATGAATTACAACAGCTTTAAAGTACGAACAAAAGAGTCTCTCAAGTTGCTATTCATTATCGACTGACGTCAGTTGGAGGAACACTGGGAACCTGGGAGCATTGGACAGCTGTTTCGTCTCACTGATATAAGACTTTTAGCAGTGCGCACTCATGACCCCGATTCGCCTTACCAGGGATTAAACCTATAACATTCAGGTTCCGTGGTCAACACGCCTCCATTGAGCCACTGGGTAGGAATCCGGTGGTCCATATTTCCAACTTTTTTCAGTTCACGACAGCGCGACCATCACGCAGTGTCATCGTTGAGTATCTGTCCTCGCGTTTACCAGGATTTCCTCACCGATCATAAATGATGTCAATCGATGATGAATCCCAACCTAAAATCAATCAGTAAACCTCCAAATAGAATTAATCTAGAGCTTAATCGTGACTAGCTTTGAGAGGTGATTCCCGAATTCCCAATGAGAAGTCGTGACTAGTGAAGTCAACCAAGTCGAATATGAGGACAGTTACTCAACGACAGCATTGGATGTAAGTGTGTCTATATCGCGAACTGACAGAAGTAGGAAATATGGACCAGTGGCTCAATGGTAAGGTACTGGCCACGGAACCTGAAGGCCGTGGGTTCCACCTCTGGGGGTGCGAGGTAAAGTTATGGGTGCACAGTGGTGAGGATTCCCATACTAGTGGGACGAAACAGCTGTCCAGTGCTCCTAACTGAAGAAAGTTTTTGTCAGTGTGTACACATAAACAAAGCTGGTAAATAGTAATGTGTTGTCTGAAATTCAGCAACAAAGTTCTCAATCCTATGGGCAATCGAAACAATACTCGAATAACTGACGTACTAATGATATATATATGTGTATTACAGGATTGAAATAGGTAATAGCTAATTTGGTTGGAGGGGTAATTCACTTTCAGTCCATCCTGATTGGATGAGATACGACATCAGCTGAAAACTGGAGAACAAGAATCTCGCATTATTTTACGTATTACACGTTGAGTGAAATCCATTATACTGCATATTATCTCATATTCTGTACTTTAAGAAATTATGCTGCATTGTACATACATATGAATCAGATCCCTTTGAAAGTATATCATAAACAATAAGCATTAAACTTTGTGTTCTGTTGCATGAAGCTGCAGAGGAGGGTGGAATTGCATAACTCGTCATGTACATGAATTGAGATTATCCTAAGCAACTATTGAAATAACCAGTCAGGTTTCAGTATTTCGATTAGAAAGACAGTTTTTCATTTAAAAAAATATAAAACTTGAATAGGTCATCTTACTAGGTGTCAGAGTTATCCGTATAATAAGTAGAATCTCAAAGACTGGGTAAGTGTACCAACCACGTGCAAGGTAAGTGTTATATATGAATCGGCTAAATCATATGCTTCAGGTAACTGTAATCAGGTCAAGTTATAACAACATTAAAGAAAAAATAACCAATCATATCTCTTGTATGAATAACTTACACATGCGTACTAATTGGTCAACAATTTGAGCATATGTCATTTTATCACGATCATTTTCACTTAGAATAGGCAATGGTAAACACAATTTATTATCATATGTTATTGATGGAACATTTAAATAATGAAATAATACAACACAAGGATTCTATGAAAAAAAAAAAAGTAAAGGTAAATTGAGAAGAAAAAACAGAACAATTTTCGTTAAATACTTTCAAGTTTGTAATAAATGAACAAGAAAAAATAAAACAATAACCTGATAAATATTAAGCGTAAAACAGCATGGACACTGTGGTAGAATATAATCCCCCATATATTATTATTATTATTATTATTAACAGGATGACGTTCCCAGCATAAATAATGATCGCTCGTAATTATATGACACAGCACTTTCGACATATCTGCTTTTTATAGTCCTACCAGCTGATATTGGCAGTCAAATTTTCTATAACTCTGGTATGAGTGTTGTATCTCATTCCTATTACATGTGTTGGGTTGGAAGTTGATTCGATTCAGTAGTCAATCCCTCTCTCTCTCTCTCTCTCTACCTACCTACCTACCTACCTACCTACCTAATTATATTGGACTTAAGTACGATGGTTTTGTCCCATCCATTCGACTGTGTGGTTGTGTGTTAATGCATGCATGTGAGGATTGCAACAGCCAACTTCCCTTCTACATTACTGATCTTATTGGAGTCTGTCATTCTATGTTAGGCTGCTAATCTACTAATCTCACTGACTCCGACCGACTACTTTGACCTACATACTTGACCTCACAGTAACTACATAGAAGTTGATAGATTAGATTATTTTGTTTAATTCGTTACATCGGATCCTTTAGCCAGATGACAACGTTTATCTCTCAGTCAGTTTGATAACCTAATTCCAGCTTCACTGACAATCATAAGTGAACTTTCTTATGTTCCTTCCTTCCTCATAGCATAACACAATCCAGGTTGTCAACTCCTTTCTACTCATGTCGTCTCTATTATTCGTATTCCTACTGCTGTTAGCATTTTATTTCTCATGTATTCGTACAACCACCTTCGTCATAAACAGTAAAGGATAGTTATTAACTATTAGTGCCTCTTTTATGTGCCCTCCAGGCCTTTTGTTTCCATGAAGAGATTTCGTCGACCACTGAGCTACCAGGATTGATCTGACTTCCCAGGAAAGTGAAGTCTTCAATGCGCTCAATCACTTCACTCTCTATTGTTAGTAGGGGTACCGTTGAAAATCAGTCCTGGAGCAATAATTTTCATTTCGGCGCCGAGAAACACATTCCAAACATTTTCAAATCGCCACACAAGGTATCCAGAAGACTTTACATCTTGTCATTTGGTAGCGTCCTCATCTAACAGGACTACGTCAAGACGATAGGAATCAGTAGTAAATGAAAATCTGGATCAACTTCAGTATTTAGAGCAAATTTTTAAAAAAGGTAAGTTCAAATTAACATCACATTTTCAATAAAACAATCTTACAAATCGTAGGGCATAAGTTCTTCGATGAAATGTAGAAATTAAAGCGGAATGTGCATAGTTAGCGATAATACACTAGAAAACGAAGAGAGAAGATATTTACACAAATGAATAGGATCAAAAAAGGCAACAACAAAAAAAACAGGGTGACTTTAAAGGCCACCCTAGCAACTTATGAGACAGCTAACTAAATACCTTTAATTTATAGAAAAGCCCTTTTTCAGGCGAAATACAGAAGCTTGGTTAGTCTATCCAGCAGTTGATAAAGTGACCTTTAAAAACATCATCAAAATAACTAAAATAACCTGGTTGGTTGTGGCTAGCAGAAGAATCCAGGATGCGCATTTCGCGTCCTGTTCACGCAATATCGAGGCATCTCCGTATAGGAGTCCATATGTCAATAGACGTCGAACAATTCGATCCAACAAAACAATGGAGAATAACAAGTATGTCAATAAATAGTAATAACTACTACCCATTGTACAAGAAGTGGCTATCGCTCCTCCGTGGCATAGTGGATAACGCCTTGGTGTTTGAAGCAATGGGTACGAGGTTCGAGTCTCAGTGGGAACAACATCACTGGGTGCAGGTACAACCAGCTGACAAGCGAGTTCCAAATAGGACGAAACATGCGTCCTGGAATCTTCTGCTAGTTACAACCAACCAATTTATCATAATTAACATTCAGGCAATGTCGAGGCATCTCCGTATAGGAGCCCATATGCCAACACAGGTCGGACAATTCGATCCAACAAAACAACGGAGAATAACAAGTATGTCAATAAATAGTAATAACTAAAATAACCATTTAAATTTTTTTTGATTTTATGAAAATTTGCCCTTCCAGCAGAAGAAATAAGGGAATCGAATTGCTTACTTCTGCTGTTGTTAAGGTGGCCTTTTAAGACACCCATTAAGTTTTCTCTATTTTATGAAAAGACTACGTTTCCAATTAATATAAAGAAAAAGGAGAAGGAGAAGAAAGATTCTCGTGGAGTAGAGTGATCAGAGTTAAACAGATGCTCAAGAACCGAGCTGTTAACGGCGTTGTACTCTCAATCAGACGGCCGTACAGTAGAGTGTTCGAAGATGTGTTCCGATAGAACATGTTTTCTTTGGCCTGTGTAAACAGTCCCACAAGAGCTAATCAAAGGTTGAAGTTAAAGTGAATATTTGAATGTATTCAACACTCTGTTTCTAAGATACATCCTAGCACACTTATAATCCAAGTTGTAATAGGCAACATGAGCAAAAATAAAACAAATTCTCTGATTAAATTAACCAAGAAACATTTTATTTCGCATACATCGATGGATCTTTCGGCTTACCAGTAGTACAGATCAGATAATTAAATCATTGTACATTTATCCAGGTGACCAGGAAGGAAATTATTGTAATTGTATTTGCGTTGAGGTTGAAGGTCATAGGAGGGAAAAGTAATTAACAAACAAAGCAAATAATGATTGCTACTCTCATTTGCTTTTGTTTATTTAAACGTTATTCTTTCACTACTCTCTACTTCTTTATATGATTATGTCGAATACGGTAAGGTGAAGTCACATACATCAGTTACGATGCGGAGTTGTGAGAACGAACAATAATAATGATTAATGATTGAAATTCAAGGGTTGAGACGATTCACCTAAAGTGATTCGCAGAGGGAAAGGAGAAGACTGCCAATCAATTGAGTTTATAGTGCAACGATTATATTATATATTATTATATATATACTATATATTATTATTATTATTGTTAGAATATAAACGTGGTGCAGCAAAGGCACCAAGAAATGCGCCACACAAAATAATGTAACACTACTTTGAAGACATAAAGTGAAGAGAAGTGGAAAAGTAAGAAAGAAAAACATAATAAGAATAGCATGGTTAGAAGGGAATTCCAGTAAGATACATTGAAGCTACAGCACGGCCGTCACTGGTTTCAATTATGAGCCGTATCTGATAACGCCTCAAGAGCCACTGCAGTTGCGTGATCTCTCAGACCCCATCCACAGAGTCGTGGTGCACCGACAGATGGTTACCCCATACAACTATCCTTCAACCCACAGCCCCATGTCATACACTGACTACCCTTCTGCTCCTTCCATCTAGTCCAAGACCAAGGGCTACCAAACAATGAACGGTATGAAAGCCGTTGTTTCCAGATGACTTCACTTATTTAGTGACGACCGCCATGATGCCAAAACACATGCTATTGTGCCTCGAAATTACTTATATCCTGTTGCCAACGCATACGAGCAATTCTACAGAGACAGCGATGATCGAACACACAGACTGGTTGCACATCCTCAGTTCAAAGAGGCCAAGTTTCAACGGCGTAGAACAAAACTGCTCACACCGAAACGTTGTAAATCTGAAGTTTTACGATCAGACTAACGTCGTGATGACGCCGACGTGGCCCAGATTGGCATATGCCACTCCGGCTTTGGACATGCGGTTATAAATTTTTTCAACTACACAACTACACAGATACATGAACAACTTCTCGACTATTTCCAACGGCTCACCAAGGAAGGTGAGCGCATGCACAGGCTGCTACCAGTCTTGCAAAAGTAACTTGCACCTCCATGGTACAAAAATATATCACGCTTAAGGACACTAACCACCAACCGATTAAGTGTGATTTGAATAACCTATGTATTATTGCACAGTAGGACGATATCATTCGCATATTCGAGGCCAAGTAGCCGTTCTCCGGGTAGTAGATCTATACCACGATCACGCACCGCCTTCAGAGCTGACTCAAGAATATCATAGATGGAAAAGTTAAAGAGGAATGTAGAAATCGGGCAACCCTGCCTAACCCCACTACTCGTGTGGAACAACGGAGACAGATGGTTGTATCCCCTCACTCTACGTCAAGTGTTATTATATATAGGGCTTTCACGATGTTAATAAATTTCTCAGCCACGCCACTTCTCTAACTGACACTTCCAAAGTACAGCTGTGTCAAAAGAATCGAACGTAGCCCTGATGTCCAGAAACATGAATGTTGGCCTACAATATGTTTGGCGACGTCCAAGCACCTAGCGGATGGCAAACACACGATCAATGAATCCATAATTTGAACAAAGCCCAATCTGCTCCTCGCGAATCATTTTCTCGCACGTTTTGCAACGTTTGCGAAGTGTTTAGTAAGAACAGAACCTATTTATAAAGTTTACGGTAACCTTAAAAGACTAGGAATAATTAGGTCACTTAGAAAGGTAAAAACCAACGAGAACACTAATATTATCCATCCATTCAAATCGGCATAGGACCAGGCAATGCTACGTAGCGGTCCGAGTTGCCACATGTCACATCACTACACCAAGTGAAAAGGCAGTGAAGTGGAAGATGAAAAAGAGAAAATTTGGTCAAAAGAAATATAAAGTACTAAAAGAGAGAAAGGAAAGAATGAGAAAATGGTGAGATTGATTCGATATAGCGTAAAGATGAGGATAACGTGTGTATACATCTACACCACTGACATCGGTTCCGATTCATATCATCTCCAGTCAGTCTCCAAACACTGGTTCCTCTTGTCCCACCGACCCCAACCACCTAGTCTCCATCACCCCACATGACTCAGACGAACAGTCAAACACTTCATACATTGATGCCATGTTTAAGTATCGTCACTCCGAGCCCTTCTCCAGCCTCAACGTACTTCGATCAACATTGTACGACGAGGCAGACGGCGACTAGGCATACGTAACACATGTCACAGCCAACCATCTCAGTCGATGAAGGTTCATAAGCTTGACTTCTGTCTTACTCACATGGTGACAACACGAAACACAGCCTATACTATGAAGGTAACAGGGGTCAAATACCTGAAACCTCCTCATGTCTTCCAACTACAATGGTCATATCTCACAGCCACACAATAGAACACAGCGGACTGCTGGGCAGTACACGCAACCCTTAATAGACAATCGGATATCACAGCAGTGTCACAGGTGGTGTGAGTTGGCAACAACAAAACCAAGCTTTTTGTATGTGTGCAGAGATTTCATCGGTCAGTGAGCCATCAAGACAGGGCTAGTCCTACTTCCCAGGTAAGTGAAGTCGTCGACACACTCAACCACTAACTACACTCTCTACTGTTAGCCATGGTGGGACACCGTTGAAGACCAATCCTGGAGCAACAACTTGTATTTGGATGGTGAGGAGTCTATTCTAAACATTCTCAAATTGCCACTGAGAGTGTCCAGAAGACTCTGCATCTTCTCAGTGTCTTCACCTAACAAAACTATGTCATCTGCATATTCTAGGTCTAACGAAAATTCTCCTGTGATTAGGTCAACGTCTGTGTGTAGTCAGGTGACGAGAGGGAGACTTCCATGAGAATATCTATGATCGATTTGAATAAGAATGGAGAGAGTGGGTACCCTTGACGGACACCATTCGATGAGTACAGCTCCCTGGATATCTCACCATAGGCTCTAACATGCCCACAAGTATCCGAGTAAACAGCCTACAAGGTGATGTACTTACTCGGTATGCCTTTCACTGAGAGACATTGCCACAACACTTCTCGATCAATGGAGTCGAATGCAACCTTCAGATCAAGTAATACTACCAGTGTCGGGTGTCGGTAAGGGTGCCTATGTTCCAGGACCTGGTCGATACACTCGCGACCGGGTTTGAAGTCTGCCTGGTTTTCTTGGGCTTGGTGTTCCCGAGCTCCAACCAAGTGTCAGAGAATTATAGAACCTAGGATTTCGGATACTATGTTCGTCAGTCTGATTCCTCTGTGGTTATCACAAGAGGACTTCTCACCTTTCTTGAAGACTGGGATAATGAGTGACTTAGACCAGTCGGAGGGGATCGTATTTGATCCCCATATACTAGCTAACACTCCCCTTAACTTGACTAAGAGCAGTCTACCACCATTCTTGTATACCCCAGCAGGTAGTCCGTCTGGTCCTGCTGCCCTTCCTCGTTTTAGGTTACCTACCGCTTTCTCAACTTCTTCTAGTGTTGGGGAGTTTTATGAAGAAATGCATTTTAGAATGCACGAATGGTGAATATGGAATAGAGGGGATACAGACATCTCTAACGGGCTCTACGTTAACCTGTCTGTCAGACAGCTATTCATTAGTTTATAAGTGAAGTTGAAGGTGTCTCAGGAAAAGACGGGACATTAGAATTCTACTCCATCAACAACCATCCAACCCCAACATACTTCACAAACTTGATCTTTCCCATCATGAATAGATTTCTACGTCATAAAAATTAATGCCAAATACAGAGATGAATGGTAAATCTTCACATGAGGCTTTTGAACTAAAGTTAGGAATTAATTATGCGACAAATTTAAGTAAAAAAAAAAGGTCTGTCTTTATAATAAAAACTTTCAATTTCTTTCCCTTGTGAAACTGACCTCAATACCTTGAACTTTTAAAACTATATGAACTTCTTTGGTTGTACGTCGATTTGGCTTCCGTTTCCATAAATAACCATCTTGTTTACGTGCTAAGCTGGCCAATTCACGTCGGTAGAAAATAATAGTACCATTTCTAGGACTGATAACAATAAAAATATTAAAAATAAACAATACATAATATTATTAACTGAACAACTGAATACAACTATGTATGAACTGCATATACTTGATGCAGGGTATAATTCAGATGGATTATGTTTGATATGGATTTCGCACCTTTCAAAAGTAAGACGATGATGGGCTCCAGGAATGGTCTACTGTAAGCACTCCTAGTTTATTGATAAAGAGTGAATTGGTGGAGTTGCATCAGCTTAAACTGGTTTGTTTGCTGACAAAATCTCAACTCGGGTACAGAAGGACCGTTTGATATTTGCTAACTTGCGTCACTTGTGGAACCGAAAATGAGAGATATCTGACTATAAAAGGATAAGTATGCTGCGCTGCAGTCCATTCTATCCTACTATACAGATGTGAGACATGGCCATTAAAAGTAGAAGATATGAAGAGGTCACAGGGTTTAGATCATAGGTGTCTTCGTTTGATGGAATCATCAAGTAAGCAATGTAAAGGTCAGGCAAAGGATATTGGGCAAGACAGGGAAGTGGATTGATGAGGCTGTGAACCTTAGTCGACTGAGATGCTTTGGGCTAGAAGAAGGTTCAAAGTAGCCAAACCAAGACATGGTACTAGACTATAACTATTGGTCTGAGTCGTGTAGGGAGATGCAGACTGACTGGTTGGGGACCCCGAAATGATACGAACCAGTGGTTGAGGATCAGTGAAAATGTTTCAGATGCCTTCACTCTTCGACACATCCCCCTAAAGCTTGGATATTTGCAGTAACCTTTATCTTCAAATTGTTTCCCGTCTTACACAACATTATCTACTTTGATATCTCTTCTTTTCTATCCACCTATTCTTTTTGTGAAGTGTGGCAACTTGAGCCGAGGCACCTGTGAGCGAGGTTTTACGTTGATTTTGTCAGTCAGTTAGCCAGTCAGTCAGTAATTGAGATGTTACTGAACTAGTTAAATCCCAATGACTAAGTGAAATCAGATTGGAAACAGGTACTAATTACCACTCAATTTCCTTAAACTCATATAACTTGGCGTTGAACCTCGTCTGACTTACTTCAGTTTGGGAAGCCTTGAAAAATAAGTGTTAAATTATGAGTGTCAGTCAGTATGAGAGTTGAGTTTCATGGATGTTGGTACTCAACAAGTAAGATGTTTCTGTAACCATATAGAAACGAGTGTTCCTTCGGCGACTGGAACCCGTGTTATT